AAAAAAAAAAAAAAAAAAAAAAAAAAAAAAAAAAAAAAAAAAAAAAAAAAAAAAAAAAAAAAAGGCTAATAATTAGCAGCTCTTACCACCCCTTGGACCTCTTTATGTTCAATAATTTGCTAAAAGTAAGTTGTCCTTTTTGGTTCACCTTTTTCAAGAACTTTGGGCTTACCACTTTATTAGGTATGTTGTCCTGTGTTAGACAAAGAAGGACTCAAAGTCTGGGTCTTGCTGACAAGTATCAAAACTCTTCTTCAGCTGGGCAAGGTGGCTAACACGTGTAATCCTAGCACTTTGGGAGGCCAAGGCAGACAGACTGCCTGAGCTTAGGAGTTCGAGACCAGCCTGGGCAAAATGGGGAAACCCCGTCTCTACTAAAAATACAAAAAAATTAGCCAGGCATGGTGGCACGTTCCCGTAGACCCAGCTACTCGGGAGGCTGAGACAGGAGAATCGCTTGAACCTGGGAGGCAGAGGTTGCAGTGAGCCAAGATTGTACCACTGCACTCTAGCCTAGGCAACAGAGCGAGACTCTGTCAAACAAACAAACAAACAAAACAAAACAAAACAAAAAAAAAAAAAAAAAGAAGTAAAAGAAAAAAACTCTTTTTCAGCAATCACTAAAACTACGGCCCAATGACTGTAGGAATGTTTAATCCTATGAGAGCTCAGTATTTGCCTTTTTTCTGTTTTGTTTTTTCCTTTCTCATGTGAATGTCACTGTGATTATCCCTTATAACTTTTACCTTGGCTACTTTAAAATTTTGGGTGTGGTAAACCAGAAAATCCAGGTTAACTATGTATACAAATAAAATCAGAAAGTGTGATCTGTGGACTGGCAGATCTGCATTAGGCATCAGTAGAAATGCAAAACCTTAATTAAGTTCCGCCCCATACCTACTGAAGTAGAATCTGCATTTTAACAAGATTCCCTGGGGATTCATATACACGTTAAGGTTTCAGAACTATTGGTCTAATGAAGGACCAACTATGAGGCTCTATTGTAGAATAAAGCTCAAGAAGGATTTTCAACAGCTATTTCAAGCCCTAGGACCTTAGGTTCTGTATAGTTGAGATCCTACCTATAGGTAACCAGGATATGTTCAACTAAAATGGAGATGGAAAATCTAATCTTGCCTGTTATTTGCCATTTCTGGGGGTTACTAACTAGGAAAGTTAATACATATTCCAAAAGGAAAATGAAGTCTCCAAGAGAAATCTTGTATCTTTACTTACCACCATTCCAATATTGTTCTGTTGTCCGCTAGTCGCCATCTCCACACATTCATCTATCACAAGATTCATAAAGGGATCAAATCCCCGCAATATTCCTTGGACATGTCTGCCACCATTTAATTTCACTATTAAAAAGGGAAAAAGATGTTTTAGCAAAATACAAGTATTTGAGATGTTTGACCCACTATCCTTACTGTATGCCAAGCACTGGATTAAACATTTTTGTATTTACTTCCACATTTTAATTTATAAGAATCCTAAAAAGTAGTATTATCCTTACTTTATAGGATAGAATCAAACTTTAGAGCTTTTATTTATTTATTTATTGAGATGGAGGGTCACTCTGTTGCCAGGCTGCAGTGGTGCAATCTAGGCCCACTGTGACCTCCGCCGCCTGGGTTCAAGCAATTCCTGTCTCAGCCTCCCAAGTAGCTGGGACTAAAGGTACATTCTACCATGACCGGCTAATTTTTGTATTTTTTAGTAGAGGTGGGGTTTGGTCAGGCTGGCCTCAAATTCCTGACCTCGGGTGATCCACCCGCCTTGGCCTCCTAAAATGCTGGGATTACAGGCATGAGCCTAGCAGCTTTTATTTTTTTATTTTTTCAGAGATAGCCGTAGAGGGTGGGGGAGTGGCAGGCTCTCTATGTTGCCCTGGCTGGTCTCGAACTCTCGAGCTCAAGGGATCCTACCACTCTGGCCTCCCAAAGTGCTGCAATTACAGAGGTAAGGCACTGTGCCCAAGTTTTTAAGTAACTGCATTCACGGTTATACAGCTACGGTATGGTAGAAGTGAGATTCAAGCTAAAGGCTGCTTACCTCTAATGCTCATGGTTTTGTCCCCTACATATACTCCAAGCACTGTGTGGGTCAGATTTTTAGTTAAACTGAACAAATTCCTACATATTCCCAAGAAACAAAATAATTTTTCCTTATCTAAGTCTTTTGTAGCTTATTTAAAGGAAAAAAGGTTGATAAATCCTGTTAATTTTGTCAAAGTGAGGAAGGGCTTTGTAATATAAAGTCTGAAGTGCTATTAAATTCATTAAACATCAGAAATTAGGTAAATAAAATTGTTTAGTTAGGATTAAGTAATCTGCTTAATTAATGGATATGAATTAGAGGTCCTGTGTGCTTTAAATTTTTATAAAGTTGCAAAAAACCCAAAACAACAAACTTACATGATAACTTCTTGTCCATAAATCTGAAAAAGCAAAAGGGTAAAGATTATATAACCAATTAAAAAATTTTAAGCATAAACAAGTTCATAAATAGGTATAGTTAAAATAAAAAATTTATACAATGGGAATAATGACATCTAAAATAGTAAAAATACTGTACTACTGTGAAAAGTGAGGGAATAGGGCAAGGTAGCTCATGCCTGTAATCCCAGCACTTTAGGGGGCTGAGGTGGGTGAACTGCTTGAGCTCAGGAGTTGAGACCAGCCTGAGCAACATGGTGAAACCCCACCTCTATCAAAAATACAAAAATTAACTGGGAGTGGTGGCATGTGCCTATGGTTCCAGCTATGTGGGAGGCTGAGGTCGGAGGATCACTGGAACCTGTGACGTTGAGGCTGCAGTGAGCCACTGCATTCCAGCTGGGCAATAGAGCAAAACCCCGTTTCAGGGTAAAAAAAAAAAAAAAAGTTACCTAAATTAGACATTCTACAAAGCAAAGTAATTTGGGAAGGGGAAAGACAATAAAGATGAAACATATTTAGACTGTGTTAATCTACATTAAGTGGAGTCTTTATACTAATGTGAATTACAAAAACATTCTTATTGTTCAATACTATGTTGTTTCATTGACCTAAGTTTTTTTACTTCTTTCTTTCTTTTCTTTTTTTAAAAGAGATAGTGTCTCATTATGTTGATCAGGCTGGTCTTGAATTCCTGGCCTCAAAAAATATGCTTCCCCTCAGTCTCCCAAAGTGCTGCTGAGATTACACAGGCATAAGCTACCTCATCTGGTCTCATTAACCTAATTTTCAATAATTGGGTTTTACAGTCATAACAGAAAAACAAAGACTTGTTTACATTTGGTTATTTCCAAAACTAAGTTGTAAAGACAGCAAACAGTAAACAAACCATAGCCAATTCAATAGGTATTTTATATTCGAGATAAAAAGGAGTGTTCTTTTATTTAATATGAAAGCATCAAGCATAAATGTTCAGGGTAGTCCTCAACATTTAAGTATATTTTAGTACAACAAATGCATATTTTGAAACTTCAAACAATATGAATTAAGGAAAATTCAATTTTAGTGGAATATGAGACTACTAAGCCATGCAGTCAAATCAGTTTTTAACCTCTTCCATTTATAGGCCAGAAAACATGAAATTTCATTCAGTTTTAAAAATTTCATTCAAACTTTAAAATATAAAAAAATGGGAAAAATTTTAGCATATGGGCTGTGAAGTGGGCACTTACTCAATTTTAATTTACAGAATAATCATGGAAGAATTCAAATATAAAACAGGGAGCATGGCTGAAGGAGGGAGTAGACATTTACAAGTAAAAATGTATTTATGAAGTATGATGAACAAGACTATATTTCAATAAGATATATAAAAGCATAGCAAATATAACACCCAAGATCTTATTCAATCTTTACAAGGACTTTGCAATTATGGTCTAGTATTACCACCATTTTACAGATGGAGAACTAGGTATGGAAAGGTTAAGTAAATTGTTCGAAGTCACACAGCAAGTGTGAGCAAATACAAATTGTTGAGATTGACTGGAGAACAGAACACTTGAGCATTTGTGGCTGTAAGGTTTGGCGTTTGAATGTTGGGTGGGTTAAATATAGACTTGATTTTGCATATTGTGATAAATTATTAAAGAAGTCACTGGGAAGACTACTGTGGCAGCAAATTTCAAAAAGTGGCAGGGAAGAATTCAGTTAAGCCAGGGTATCTCAACTTCTGCACTACTGACATTTGGGACTAGATAATTTTGAATTGTTGGGGGCAGTCCAATAAGTGGTGGGAAGTTTAGCAGCATCCCTGTGTCTACTCGCTAGAAGTCAGTAGCACCAGATTCCCTACTCCCTCATTTAAGAACCAGAGTGGCCAGGTGCAATGGCTCACGCCTGTAACCCCACCACTTTGGAAGGCCGAGGTGGGGGTATCACAAGGTCAGGAGTTCAAGACCAGCCCGACCAACATGGTGAAATCCCATCTCTACTACAAATACAAAAATTAGCCGGGTGTGGTGGCAGGCGCCTGTAATCCCAGCTATTCCGGAGGCTGAGGCAGGAGAATCGATTGATCCTTAGGAGGCGGAGACTGCAGTGAGCTGAGATCATGCCACTGTACTCCAGCCTGGGTGACACAGCAAGACTCCATCCCCCCCCAAAAAAACAAAAAAAACACCAAACACCAAAACCAAACCAACCAACCAAACAAAAAAAGAACCACTGAGCCGGGCGCGGTGGCTCACGCCTGTAATCCCAGCACTTTGGGAGGCCGAGGCGGGTGGATCACGAGGTCAAGAGATCGAGACCATCCTGGTCAAAATGGTGAAACCCTG